GCTTGCGAGGGAAGGGCCAAGGGCGGCCGGTCGCACAAAGAAAGTGGTCGGGCTTGCGTTGGTTGTGATCCCGGAGGCAGGGACAGAGCGCGTCGGCTGTGGTGGCCTGGTGCGCATCAAAATGGATGCAGCCCGGAGTGGGGCAGAAGAGACACACATGGGGCATGCCTCCGAGCCGGGCTGGATGACTGCTGCTTTGGCATAGAAAACGGGTAGACTGTTGACAGGAGGCGGGGAAAGAGGCAGACGGAGCCGAGGACCAACGGGAGATTAGGACGCCATGGTGCAAGGCAGGAGAGCGGGCCCAAGTGCGGGGAGAGGAGAAGCACGCACGCCAACTCGCAAGCTCAGGGCGGTGGCCCGCGCCGCATCGGAGACCGAGATCTCCAGGTTGGCCGGCACAGTGAGGAGATGCGGGCAGAAGGACATTTTCTGTGGTCGGAAAAGGCGGCAACAAGCGGGGCGGGAGAAGAGAAAGCAGGCGAGGACAGCAAGCGGGGGGGGGGGGGGGCGCTGGTGATCAGGATCCCATAGCGCGAGGCTGTGCTGGGGAGGTATGCCCTGGGGGGTGAGCGATGGGAGGAATGAGAGCCAGGGCCGGGGGAGAGGGGGCGGGGGCACTGAAATGCGCTGGAACAGGGGGGAGGGCAACTCCCCGCCGGATAAAGAGGAAGCGCACTGCTAGCACGGGAGGAAGGAGGATGGGCCGCCTCGGGACGAGGGAAGGGCGAGACAGAAGCCGGCCGGTGGCGCAGCGGGACAGTGGCAGCCGGGACGGTCGAGACGGCGAGAGAAGAAGGTAGATCGGAGGGGGGGGGAGGGAGGGAGGAGCACCAGCTCTGTGGCTATTCGGCACAGTGTGACCTTCTCGCCCGGCAGGCGGCTGGCGAAGGCCGCGGCCACGATCTCCTTAAATACGGCTCGATTGGGGCACGCTCCGCGGAATCTGTGGAGCAAAGATTGCACCACGGCACACTTACACGCACCAAGGAACACACGCACGGGTGCCGCCGGCGGCCCAGCAGGGGGCGGGGGGGGGGGGAGCAGGGGGAAAGATGGACAACCGCCTCCCTGCGCCAGCCAGGCAAGATGCACAGTGGCATGGCACTGCATGTGCCAGGGACGCCGGCGCCCACGAAGGGGGGCCGACTAGTAGCGGGGCCCGTCGCCGTCCGAGAGGGTGAAGAAAAAACAGGCGCTCTAGTTGCGCACCATCGCAAGGGGACGGCCCCGACTCTCGCCCAGCAAACGGCCCACCCCAGGGTGCAGAACGTCGCGCGGCTCCCCATCGGCGGCAACGCCAAGGCAATCGGCGTCCTACACTCGGCTCCTCAGCCCGAGGACGATGGGGCAGACGGGGGGCGGCGGGGGGGCGGGGGACGCGGGCTCCATCGGTCCCGACGTGGCCCCGTCCGGCGTCATGCGCGGCCCTACAAGCTCCAATCCCCCGCCCCCCCCCCCCCCCCGCCCTGCGGCCGGGGACCCGGGCGACCCAAGCAACACAGCGCGAGGCATGTGGACGTGCCAAGGCAAGAGTCCCCCGCCGGGCACCGCCCCGCCCCGCACCAGCGCAAGGACCCTCGCACGGGGCCCCCGAGCCTGCCCACTAACACATATGTTCTGGTATACACATAATGTCGCAGCCAGCCCCCCTCCCCCCCCCCCCCCCCCCCCCCCCCACCCCAGCGACCGCATCCCGGCAGAAGCCACGGCCGGGCGGCGGACCGGCCACGGGCCGGAGGCCTCGGGACCGGGTCCCGGTGCATCGCGCCCTGTTCCCATGCCCAAGTACCAACCCACTGGGAGAGCCCCATCGTGGAGCGCGGGGCCGGGCAGTCTGCAGGGGTCGTGATACTTGATGCCGGTGTACCGTGACCAGGCGAGGCGCTCCCAGCCTCTTTGCCGCCAGCACCCAAGGAACTGGAAGCCAGGGGGGGGGGGGGCTGTGCGCCCGCGAAGAGGGCCGCAGGGGCCGGCAAGACGAGAATCTGGAAATGCCTCCTCTTTTCCAGTCACCATGGTGCCCGGGGCCCCCCCCCTTCGGCCCGGCCAGCCATCTCCATCCGCCTTCGCGCCCTTCCGTCATTTTTTCCCCGCCACAGCTGCCCGCAACGGGAGTGCTCTCGCCCTACTTTTAGCCCTCGTCAACCATGTCGTTTATGCTGCCCCAATTGACCACCGCCTGGGACGTGGACCGGTCAATCTACCTTGAGGAGGACCGCGTTGTGGTCGTCCGTTTTGGTCGTGACGGCGACCCGGTGTGCATCAAGATGGATGAAACTCTGTTCAAAATCGCCGGTGCGTACCTCTCTGTGCCGCTGCTGGACCAACACAGGAATCCCCGGGAGGCGGAGCATTTGTTGTTTGTTTCTTCGCTTTCCCTCTCCTTCTCTCTCTCTCTCTCTCGTCCTCCCGCCCTCCTACCCTCCTCTCCCTTCTGCATACACACAATTCCGACGGGCCTCTAACTCGCGGCTTCGCCCCTCTCTGCGCCTCGGCCTCCGCACCATCCAGAGAAAGTCAAGAACTTTGCCGTCATCTACCGCGTGGACATTGACCAGGTGCCGGATTTCAACAAGATGTATGAGTTGTATGACCCATGTGCGGTGATGTTTTTCTTCCGCAACAAGCACATGATGGTGGATCTCGGCACTGGTAACAACAACAAGGTCAATTGGGCCATCGAGGACAAACAGGAAATGATCGACCTCATTGAGGTGGTATATCGTGGCGCCCGCAAGGGGCACGGTCTGGTTGTCTCGCCGAAGGACTACTCCACCAAGTACAAGTATTGAGGCTGGGCCCTCGCCTGGATTGCCCCTCTTGCTGCCGGGCAAATAATGGCGGCCCGTGTACCATGCACAGCACAGGCGCATGCGCCAGGCGTGCCAAGTGAAGAAAAAAGTAAAAACCCAAATACAACTACCCTCCCACACATGCGCAAAACATGGAGCCCTTTTTCGGAGCGGCGCTGGTCCTCCCGCCGTGATGCTTTCCCCCAGGGCCGCCAGAGACACACGCCATGGCGGCAGGCAGTAGGGCGCAAAAGCAGGACACCAAGGCAGGAGCAGACCGCGTGCCCACACGCTGCTCCCCCCCTGCCAGGAGGGCGCAAAAGCAGCACAGCGTCTCCCGATGGGGGGCGCATTCTCTCGCACATTTGAAGGGCATTGTATTTTGGGCTAATATAACAGGGAGAAAGGGCACGCCACGCACATCCCCCCACAACGGAGAGACGGAGAGAGCATACGCAGGGGGGAGGGGAGATATAGAGAGGGGGGGGGGAGAAGGAGGAGGGAATCGGGTACAAGTACAAAGGTTCTAGAGATTCAGCCTGTCCGGGCCGCTGCCCCACACATCCGTTCCCCGCTTTCCGTCCCAGGTGCTGAGCGATTCCCCTCGTCCTCTCATGGGTGCGCGCGCACCGCCGCGGTACACACGACGCGTGGACGCACGCGCGCGCGCGCGGCGCATACGGCCGTCATGGGAGGGGGATATTTGGAGGGGGGGAGGGAGGAAGAGAAGTCGGCGGGTCGAGAGAGGGGGGAACCAATGGAGATGACGAGAACCGAACGGCGCACAGGACAAACGGAGTGTGCCGGAGAACTGCCGGACTGCGCGGCGGGATTGAGTGGGGGGGGGGGGAGGGACAGGGGAGAGGGCAGCACGGGCGAGGGCACACATGCACGAGGGCCATTGCCGGGGCCACCGCCACCGCCACACGCGAAAGGGAGGGGGAGGAGCACGCGCCGGCATACAGTGGGAGAGGGAGCACACGGCCGGCGCGCCGACCGAAGGGAGGGGTGAAAGAAAAGGGCGAGTATAGAAGAATTACTCGTCGGCGATCTTGGCGTCCTGGTCCTCCTTGATGGCCTTGACAGGGGCAAGCTTCTCGGCCTGCTCGCGGGCAATCTTCCGGGCGGCCGGCAGGCTGACCAGGCTGATGTTGCGCTCGATCTCGGTCTCGATCTCCTTGATCTGCTTCTCCTTGGCGGCCTTCATGCTGAAGTGGTGGAGGGGGCGAAGTCGGAGGGGAAAGCAAGGGGTGAAGGTGGCCCATTGCCGCTGTCAGTAGGCGAAAGGTGGGAACAGCGGAAACAGGGGGGGGGAGAGAGAGAGAGAGAGAGAGGGGGGGGGGCGAGAGTGGAAGGGGACGGGAGGAAATTGCGCACCGGTTCTTGTAGAACTGGGTCTCGCGGCGCTCGCGGATCTCGCGGATGCGCTTCATGGCCAGCAGAGTGGTCTGCATGAGGTCGCGATCGTAGCGGACCGGGACGTTGCGGCGCTTCTCGAACTCGAAGGTGGTGTCCTGAGAGGAGGAGGGGGGACAAGGAAGGAGAGCAGGTGTTAGGAGGAGAGCAGGCACAAGGCCAGTCGAAGGGGAGGGCGGAGGGCGGAGGGCGGAGGGCGGAGGACGGAGGACGGGGAGACAGCATAGCCCCAAGGTGGACGTACCATGGCGAGCTCCTTGCCAGCGGCCTTACGGAAGGCCTTGGTCCAGCGAACCTTACGGGGGTTGCGCTTCATCTTGAAGTTGCGGTGGCACTTCGAGCGGCAGAAACGGAACACCTGTGCGAGGCAGGGGACAAGGGGCGGGGGAGAAAGAGAGGAGGAGACGACGGGCAAGGGGTGAGCGAGCATGCGCGGGTGGGCAAGCACAAAGGGAGAACCCCCGAGAGGGGAGATGCGCGTACCTTGGAGTCGTTGCGCACGAACATCGTCCCGTGCCCGGGGTAGATGGTCGACGAGCAGAAAAAGCACTTTTCAAGCCTCATTTTTCTTGGTCAGAAAAAAGGGGGGGTTCCGCTGGAGGGGGGGGGGGGAAAGCGACAGGAGGGAGAGAGGGGGGTGGGGAAGGTCAGGAATAAATGACAGCAGGAAAAAAACGACATCGTAGAGGGTCACATCAGGGGAGGGGGAGGAGACAGGGCGTGATCGCCG